TCATGGTGTGGCTGTAGTGGTCATTCAGGATGGGAAGAGAAAAGAAGGCAAAGGCCGGCCCGGGGGCTACCGCTGGCAGCTCCGCAAAGGACAGGCATAAGCGGGATCGCAAGGGCAATGTCATCGACTGGACAGCCCCTCTGCCCCCGGGCCTGAATGCCAGGCTTGACAAGCCAAAGCCCAGCTCCAAGCACAAGTCATGGTTCGAGTTCGTCGAAAACAAGGAAAAGAAGAAGAAACTCGAGTTCGAGGTAATGGAGCCTTGAAGGAGCGCCTCGAGACGCAGACCGTTGGACCATTGACGCCCGAGACTGATCCATTGCAGTTCACCGAAGACCGCCATCCGCCTCCAGGGTTTGAGTTTGTTCCCATTGGGAACCCGGCCTTGACGACAGCATGCAAGGAGCTCTCCCGTGAGCAGGGAGCGATGATCTTCATAGTCACGGTTTGTAAACCGCGTCGTCGCGCAACCCTCCATCACAGCAACAGTTCTGACGGAGCTCCCCTTCAGTCAACATATGGCCGCTTTTCGCGGACATTGAGCTTTCACCTCAACCGTGTGGGCCACCACATACGACAGTCAATCGTCGAGCAAGCCCGCGAGTCTCTCGGGGATGGGCAGGATGTCCAAGTCACCGAGACGGACCTAGGCGTGCCTGAGCCGATTCCTGACAGGCAGGAAGACATTGACAAGCAGGCTGACGCGGCTATAAGGGACCTGTTTCCTCGCATTCCAAATACCGATCGCCAAGTGATCATCCAGCATGCGTTCAACAAGGTGCGTTAAACTTCAACCTCTGGTGTTTGATCAGTAACTAGAACAGGCACACCGCAGGCAAACTTGAAGCAAAAGAATGGCGATCCGCCAGTCGGGCTTGCACCGGATATTACCCTGTCTCGCCGTGTTCAACTCGCCGTTCTTGCGCACATCCGACATAACCACACCAGATACGACCAGCTTTTGCGTGAGACATCCTACGTAAACGCCAGAAAGGCGGTAGAACCCCTTTGTCTCGACTTCCTGGTCAAGTGGCGAGGAGACGAAGAGACGGGTCGTGACCAGCTCGACGAGATCCTGTGCGAAGTTATTGTCATCTCCGACTCTGAGAGCGACGACGAGGACGATGATGATGATGACTCGGATTCGTCGGACACTTCTGTCTCCGGGGGAGCACCTCTAGCTGAGCGGCCAGAGCCACCAGTTGGGCTTCCGGCCCCTGCCACAGACGCGTCGGTTCTCTCTGGAGCCACAAACCGTCGCGGTGAAAGCCATCCTCGAGCACTACATGCGCATGCTGGACGCAAGGCAAAAGTTGCGCGCAAGGATCGCCGGGCAGCGATTAGGAAAGAAAACCGTGGTTTCAGTCGTTATCAGGCTGCCCGGGACAGAGCGTGGCATGAGGCCATTGCGAGGCAACAGCAGCACGACGATAGGGCCCGTATGCGCGCAGCGACTGTCATGTCCATTGACGGGCCAAATGAGAATCAGCAGTGGCGATCACCAGAGCCGAGCTACAACCCCCGGGCTGTGATTGCTGACAGCTCAGAGCTACATCGTCCCCAGCCAGCCCCGTATGGCGGTGCCTGGCCTATAGTTGGGTCAAGAGCTGCCTCTGGGCAGGCGCGTTTCCCGCCCCTAGACCTCAAGGATCACCTTGTCAGGTCAATCGAGCAACCATACTCTCCGGAGACGTCTCAGTTTCCCGCGCAGTTTCATGATCGCCTACAAATAAACTCAGACTATGGTGAGAGCTATGCTCGGCCTCGGGCAGCGCCTGCTTTCCAGCAAACTAGTGCCAGACCGTACAATGAGACAGTACCAGAGAGATCCTACAACGAAGCTCCGGTCAGGGTCTACAATGAAGCGGTTCCCCAGGGCTACCAAGTTCGAGAGCAACCGGACTTTATCACCCTCCCACCCCGATACGAGGCAACACGGGCACCTGCGCCTATTCCGCACCAGGCCCCCGTGTCAGTGGTGGTAAGCTCCCAATCGAGGCATACGCAAAGAGGCTTCACACCCATAGATCTCACTGGCGACACGACTCCGTTGTCGGCATACCGAAACAGTCCAACAGTTCTCCAAGACAGGCCAGTCCTTAGGTCGGCGGCCCGGCCGATCTGGATCGATGATGAGAATGACAATTTCAGGTCCACGAATCACCCCGTACTTGCTGAGAATCGTATGCCGAGAGCAGCGGCAACACATGCGCCGTATTCTGCTCCTGATGGCCGCCATCTTGAGATCAAGCGGGAGAGAAACTATTCACCCATTCCGGCGCACATGGACGGTCGAATCGCTCGGCAAGCTGACAACAGGGACGCGTCATCTGTCCATGTTCGAAGCTACGATGGTAGCCACGATGCCGACGTGGTAGAGATTGTACGGGTGACAAACAAGTTTCCTCGGCAGCACAACGATCCGACCCCGACAAGTCCGCAAAGGTATGAGCATCGTTCAAGGAACTACGATCCGCCTCGGGCTCTGGATGGAGACAAGCACGGATTCCCATCTGCGGCCTCGCCCCGTAGAATTGAGCGAGTAGTGGCCAGGATCGAAGAGCCGGTGTACCACGACAGCGCGTTCGGCAGGCCAGCTGGCTATTCGGGAAGCTTCCCAGTGCAGCGACAGGAGCGAGTGGTGGGCATCGAGTATGTGCCTACTTCCCGCAGGTAAGAGTCATTTGCACCCTTGTTCTTGTGTTGATTAGGTACTTACCAGAACCAGTGGTGAAACCCGCACGTTTGCGGACCAGCCCCCCGTTTCTCGTTATGAAGCAGAGCGCACTATTCACGCGGATCAACCCGTCTCTCGGTATGGAGGATGCCCGGTCTATGTGGCCCAGCCTCCGGTCTCTCGTTACGAAGGAGAGCAGCCCATCTACACCGGTCAGCCTGTCGTTTCTCGTTACCAAGGAGAGCGACCTATTTACGCCGGTCAACCCCCGGTTTCTCCATACGAAGGAGAGCGCGTGGTATACAGGCAAGATGTCCCAGCATCAAGGACTTACGAAAACGGATATGCGCCTCGGTCCGACCACCCGTGACGCAGTCATCTCGATTATTGACGGCTTGAGGCAGGACTACAAAAAAATTGACGACTCGGCAATGCTGCAAGATAATGATAACGGATAGGTCAGCGACAAGAGTTGACAAGCCGGAAGGCATCCCTGGGGTTCGGGCCAGGGTCGGATAAGGCCTTTGACAGGTTTCTGGAGTTCGGTGCGCCGGGTATATATGTTGGGATTACATTGCAGGGGTTCAGGGCGGCAAGGATTGCATCTTGGTTGCATTAGAGCGGCGTCGAAAGGTTCCAGTACGCTTTTGTATCAGGGTTCTGTAAATAGTTGCAGCACGAGGCTAGATGGCGGTTCGATATGGCTAGGTGGTTCAGTCCAAGATGTGGATAGAGGCTTGCAAATGGCAGGTGTGTAGTGTACATAGCTGATGACTGCATGTGGTCTGGTCTGGTAGCTGTATTGATCACAGACAGCGAGCAGCACTGAGGGTATCATCAAGTCATTCAAGGAATTTGCAAGGAGCGCTGTATGCTGTGTTTCTGATTTATATGTGCAATCCAATGAACGCCAATTATGCTAACATAGCCTGTCTCTCTGGCTGTTTCGAGGGCTCTTCTCGTGATGCCCCGACCTGTACCGCTTCGTGGGTTGGTAACTTGGTGTCGGGCACATTTGGTAATGGCTGGACCGTGGCTCCAACGTACTCGGCTTCCAGCGCAGCGAGCTCCTCTTCCACTTCGTCCTCGTCCTGAGCCGACATGACGCCCCCTAGCATCTCGCTGACCTCCTGTTATGAGTTAGCCATGTCCAATCGATGTCTCATATGTTGCCGGGATCCACAGTCTCCTTGACTAGTAGTTGGGTCGGTAATGACAGCGAATTGTGGGTGCAGTTGAAAGTCAACGGTCTCACCTTCTGATACGCAATCGCATCCGCCGTCTCCCCCATCAACTTCTCCACGTGCTCTATCCCGCCCATCTCTGCGTGTATCTCCTGCAGCACCTTGGTCCCCTGCTGCAGACCAAACATCACATCTTTTTGTATCAGCGCGAATTCAACGCTGCTTGTGAGTTTCTCCAGTTGTTCGAGCTGGGCGTCTGTTTTGGCGAGTAGCGATTCTTGGTATTTCTTGCGGCGCAGGGCTAGGAGGGCACGCTTCTTGTCGTTTTGGGCAAGCATTTGCTTGGCGATGGCCGTTTCACGGTCGGTGAGGACGGTGATGCGGCGTTGGTATTGGTGGAGCTTGTCGCGTTGGATTTTGAGGTCTAGGATTGCCCTGGGGGGAGTTAGTGTTGCTGGATTGACCCAACTGGCCGGATGACCGAGGCTGGATTGACTGCTTGGCCAGTGATGGCAGCGAATCTCTGTTGTTGTCTGATACAGCGAACAGGATGGCTTACTTGTCCTGCGCCGTTACACGGCTCGAGTTATTGCCCATCGCAACATGTGGGAGAGTGATTACGGCGTCGCGAGTGGGATTGTGGTGTTGCGAAGCGAAGGCCGTCAAGGCTGTTGTCGCTTGGAGACTCGGGGCACCTGGCCGTCGTGGTGTGTCGGAGTTGATTACGCACGAGACGTCACCGCACCTTATCGATGGAGGGGAAGACCCTAACCCTGGAACAGTAAAACACCAGAACAGCCTCACGATGTCAACATCTCGGTGATATGATATTGATGAGAAGTGCATATTCCAAGAGATCTTAGCAGCCTCAATGGATCATCTTCATATTCACCAGTCATTATGCGGCATCTTTGCGCTGACCATTCGCCTGGCAAAGTGCACGTGGGTCTCGGCCGTTGCTCCTTCCCTCTCTCTGGCCCGACCCGTCATGTTGGGACAAATGAGGCCGGACCTTCCCTCTAAACACACATTTTCCCCAGACGCACCAGTGGGTTCCCACTAGCAACTTTCATGGCGCCCGAAATATCACGATGCAAAAGCCGACGCAAAAATATCTTTCAACAACAAAAAAAGATGAGCTCCCCCGATAAGGTTCGAACTTATAGCCTCCAGATTAACAGTCTGACGCGCTGCCAATTGCGCCACGGGGGAGAAACAGCTGCTGTGAGCTGATTTGATGGACGAGAGGTTTGGCATAGTCGTATTTTACTCGGCTGTGTCAAGTTCTGAACTCGACTCTTGGTGGGGTGGGGTGGTGGTGGGGTCAGCTGCCTGCCTTATCGATTGCGGGCCATCGCTGTGGCTTGGTGAGGAGGAGGCCAGGGGCGACGTAATGCGACCCCAGCTCACATGCGACAACAAAGCAACTACCCATTATTCTTGAACTTCTACTCGCCACAATTTGCGCACTCTGTGGTCAACCAGATTCCATATTGCTTTTGTCTTTGTTGGTTCCATCGCTTCCGACACCGCTGATTAGAGTTCCATCATGGCCGCACCAACCCCAGCCGATGCGGTAGGTGATCCTCCACTTTACCCGAACCCTGGACTTGTCCTGGAACCCTCCTCAAACCTGTGTGTCGCGAGTATACAGAACAGCTGATACGGCCACGATTTTGCAGCTCAAATCGAACCCGGTTTCTGTCGCCCCCGAATCACCAACGACAGTACGACCCCTCGACATGGACGACGACGATGTGCAAGAGACCGGCGTGCTCGGCGACGACAACACCGTCAAGCTTACCGCTCCTGCTACCTCTGCTACCTCTACCACACCGAATGCACCGGCCACAGAGGAGGCCCCGCCGCCAAAGCCCCCTCGCCCAGTCAACGAGACGCAGCAGAACCAGCAGATGCTCCAGGAGGCCTTCCCGTCCATCGATATGGCAGTTATCAAGGCCGTTCTTACGGCGAGCCGCGGCCAGGTCGAACCAGCGTTTAACGCCCTGCTGGAGATGACCGACCCCGATGCCGTGCAGAATGACGTGCCCCCGCCACCGCCTCCGAGGCCTGTCGCCGATCCTGTGGGACCGACCTCGACGGCGCAGTCGCAGCTCGAGGCCGACGAGGAATACGCCCGCCGGTTGGCTGAGCACTACGAGAATGTCGGCGCCTACGAGGCGAGAACGGCAAACAACATGCACCGGGGCCCGCGCGGCCGTCAGCAAACGGGGCTGGGCCCCAACGACCAGGACGATGATCGGGAGCACAGCTTCTTGGATGATGACCTCCCAGTGATCAAGGAGAGCCTGCGCAAGGGCTTTGTGGAGACGCAGACCAAGGTCAACACGTGGTTCACTCAGCTCAAGAAGAAGCTTGACGAGCAGTTTGACGAGGATGACGAGCGGAACGGGCAGGGGAGCAGCTCATTTATGGGACGGCCGACGCGGGACCAGACGCGGAGAAGCAACGACTACGACCGCTACGACGCCGATCCCGAGCTTCTGAGCGATGACTTTGCTGGAATGAAGTTCAACAGCGACGGAAGTAAGTGACCGATATCTCAGGCTGCGACTTTGATACTAACGGACTAGCTCCCGCCAACCGCGGATACGGCAACCCGAATCTCTTCAAGCCCCCTCCGCCGTCCAAGTCGCCGAAGCCCAACGACGGCAGAAGAGTCGCATTCGCTGAGACGGTCGAGGACATTGATGCCTATAACGCATCTCCCAAGATCCCTCCCAAGGACGCTGCCCCGAGCTCGGGGAAGGCCAGCAAGTGGCAGCCACTCTCCACAGTGGAGCCAAGCCCCATCGCCGAGAATGACCCGTTCAGTCTCGGCGATAGCGACGACGAGAGGGACGCAAAGGACAAGAAGGAGATCAAGCTGGAGGACAAGGACGAGGTGTTGAGAAAAGCGACGGCGGATGCCATGGCGGACAGCTTGGTGGACAATAAGCCCAAGGCAACCGGTGCGGATAAGTGAGAAGCAGCGGACTAAGGCGGAAGGTGATGTCGCTCATGTAGTCTTTCGTGTATTGTTTTCAGGCGAGCCCAGGAGCATACCCGGTGGATGGATACGATCTCAATACCAGACTGTTACATTCGGCTGAACACTTGATGTCTGGTGAAAATCCGGTGCAGAGCGAGGTGACGCATTTGAGTTGAGCAAATCGATAAGCTGCACGTACGAATGTTGGAAGCTACCCCTCGGTAAACACCTGCCCCTCTGCCGCGGGGCCGTGACCCCACACCTACCAAAGCTGCTCGCAGGTTGAGCTCCATTGTTCTGCATGGATGGTGCCCAGATTCCAGTCCCCAATGGCTCTCAAGTTTCGTCAGCCTTGCGCATCGAGTGAAGAGCCCACGGGGGTAAATTGCGAATCCCTATTGGTCTACCGCCATCGAGCGATGTCTTCCCATATGCCTTCATCCCCTCAGTTCCCACAGGTCTCGTGAAGAAAATCCCAACAGGGCGGATTACCCAGGCGTTCCGGCGCTCCTTTTTGCTACCAACAGCCTTCCAGCAAGCCCTGCGCAACAGGTCGACCGCAGGTCCTCGAATTGCCGTTTCTGGTAGTCCCGTCGCCAGCGCGGCAGCCCACCGAGAGCCCAGCTTCCGGGCGTCGGCCATGACCCGGGGGTGATTTGCTTGACAAAGTTGCAGCTGGAGCGAGCACTGCTACCGCGCTTACTGGGAACCCCCCTAGCACTCAGACGGGGCCATCGAACGTCAACCCACTGTAGTGTCTCACATCTGTCGACTATTAGTGGGGTCTGGAACTTGGAGTTGCTCATCACGACCCCCCTCTGTTCAGGTCTTTCGTGCTCCGATAGCATAAGGGAAACCTAGGAGCCCACAGTATGGTTGTTTCCCTGCGTCATATTACCTCAACGGATAGAACCCGGCCCTTCGGCACCTAACAACCCCTTATCCGACCCGTATCGTCGTCACTAGGGGCATCCAAGCCCAGAAGCGGTTCCAAGCGAATGGGCGTGCTCGCAACAGGCATAAACCCTCCAACCTGTGACGACAGCCCCCAGCCAAAGTCCCGCGACTCATAACACCGTCTTCGGGAAGCTCTGACCCCCACATAGGCTGTGTTCCCTGCTCTTCCCGGGACCATACGAGCAGAGACCTACCACCCATCAGCTGTGACCCATAGCTCGATGTAAGTGACTCCGCTGTCTACTTCATCCACCCTCTCCCTTCACCATCGAGGTCAGGGCAGGCAAGCGCCAGGGACTACGACCCCTTCTTTTGCTCTGCAACACATTTTTGGTGGGGTTCCCCTGCCGTCACAAAACTCTACCAGACGGTTTGGTTGCATGAGCCTCGCCGTTGCAAGGGTGCTGCATCGTGCCTCTTATACGCACCCAGGAAGAGACGCTCGCTCGCTAGCCAGTCCCTCAAGAATACCGAATCGTCGGACACGCCCTACCCACCACGTCTCACTTCCACTTATCTCCCACGTGCTGGAACAAAGTCAAACCTCCTGCACCCAGCTCGTCCAGCCATTCATCACGCAATCCCACAACACATACCAGCCAGGCTCACCGCAGACCCGGATCTGCATGCAGCCACTGCCGACGTGTCTGACCTGTCCATCGACAGATCCCTTATTCAGCCACCCAGGAAGGGTTTGATTGGAACGAACCTGCATGTTCCCAGGCCCCTTGGCCTCCCCGCTCCATCATGTAAGTACCTCATTGCTCCCCCTCATCCTACCCCTTTCGGCTCAACGGTCTTTATTGGGTGACCTCAAATGCTGAGACACTGTAAAGGAAGTTCGGAAAGCAGATTCAGAAGCGTCAGCTCGAGGTGCCCGAGTACGCTGCCAGCTTTGTAAATTACAAGGCGTTGAAGAAGGTAAGTCCCGGCTTAGTTTCTTGTGTAAGAGGTCAGGGGTGAATCTGTGGTGGTAAAACCGCGGCATTACTACGACAGAGCATATGGACGACGTTACAACCCACTTCAGGGATGGATCTTGCCAACTTGCACGGAATGTGTGTCACTGATTTCAACATGCACAGCTCATCAAAAAGCTCTCGGCTACCCCCGTTCTCGCTTCGCAAAATGACATTCGTCGGCTTGAGTCGGTCGACTCGCAAGCCGCTCTCCAGGCCAACAAGGCCACGTTCTTCTTCCAACTCGTGAGTAACCGTCTTAGCAAACGGCGTGGCGCGTGCTGACAGCTAGTAGGAGCGCGAGCTCGAGAAAGTCAACGCCTTCTACCTGCAAAAGGAGGCAGAGGTGCGATTAAGCTTTCAACGTCCAATAGTAGCTATTTTTCCCCACCTCTAACGGTTCTTAGCTCAAAATCCGCCTGAAGACCCTGCTAGACAAGAAAAAGGTGTTGAGATCGCGGAGCCATGGAATATCCAGAAGATCTGCTAAGTTCACAACGCTCCAAGAGGGGTTCCAGCAGTTCACCAACGACTTGAACAAGCTTCAACAGTTTGTCGAGATCAACGGCACCGCCTTCTCTAAAATTCTGAAGAAATGGGACAAGACCTCCAAATCCAAGACCAAGGAGCTGTACCTGTCCAGAGCGGTCGAGGTCCAGCCGTTCTTCAATGCTACCGTCATCAGCGAGCTGTCGGACCAGGCCACAACAAGTCTCCAAGAACTAGGAGCGTGGGCGGACGGCGATAACGTCAGCTTCGAGGGTCGCCCGGACCACATCGTCAGCAGCCAGAATCTGCTAGGGACTGACGAAGGGGATGCCGACACGCTTCTTCTTGATACCGTGCTTTCTGGTGGGCTAGACCAGCTGCGAGACTTGCTGGGACGGATGAAGGCCTCATCGGACTCCAGCGGCGCCATGGACATCTCCCTCATGGAGCGAGTCACTCGGACCTTCTTGGCCTCCATCAACGAAGGCCACCTCGACGCCCTCCGAATTCTCTTGGAGACGGGGCTAGTAGATATCCAGTCGGAAGATGACATCAACGAGCGAAATTGCTTGCACCAGGCCGCCATCTACGGGAATTCGTTCGTGTTGCAATATGGCCTCTCCAAGGGAGTTGCTGTTGACCGAACTGATGTCTATGGGCGGACACCGCTGCATTATGCCAGTGTACACGGGCGTATTGATATGATCGATGCGTTGTTGTCAGGTGAGTAAATGCTGGGTCAGTGTTTGTATGGACCTGAAGCTAAGCTAACACATCACAGCCGGGCCCCAGATCATTGATCTTATTGACCATGA